TACTTCTTGCCGGTCAATACTTCTTGCCGGTCTCTGGAGGGCTCTGAAACCGAACCACAAGTTTTTGGAATGAGTACCTCATGTTTCACGCTCCGCCCACTGTGGGTTGGTCCCAACGCACCAATTCTCGGCAACTCTTTCTCTGAGCAACCGAGTTACTTGATTTCGTGGGAAGTCCTTCCCATTTTAAGCACGCCCAGTCCATTACGGGTGCGTTTTCCTTTGTAAGTCTGACAACCCTTGTTATCTTAATCCATTTTTTCCCATCTTTGGACCGCTCTGGAACCGAATTGCGAATTTTCGTCTGCAACACTGCTAACTTTTGGCGCATGCCCCGCTCGCTGTGGGCGGATATAGATCATTCGTGCTCCTGAAATTTTGTCCCATGCCCTACCTACCCCAACATTGACCCGACCTATTCAAGTTGCTCTCCATTTAGAACTAAGTTTTCAAAGAGGTTTTGTGAATAATGTGTGGGGAAACTCAACCGCATCTCGCAAAGGAACCTATTGCTTATGTGAACTTGACATCGCCCATGAGAAAGCGTTATGCTTGTCATGTAAAACCTCAGATTTTGTATTCTTCATTAACTCATATCTAGTTCTGAGACAATACTCCAACGATTTCATTTGCGAGATCATGGCAATACTTCTCAGAAAGCATGTCAGCATGAGTACCAACTATTCTCGTTGTCGATGTCGTCACCAATCTAAAGAATTACAACTTTGCACATATACACGTTCCTGAATACAAGTGTTGTTCAAAGTGTTTTGTAGGGGTTATGGGTCAGAGATTATTTGACAGAGTAATCATAATATGCCGCGCTGAAAGCATGAATGAACTCTCTGTGGCCATGGTCTTACATTAGAGGCAGGCACGATAACTCCCTAGGACGAGTAGGATTAATACGCCTGGCAGGAAGGGATTCCGTGCCCTGTACAGGTGCTGCGTTACCAAGGAAGGTATCGCAAGCTGCAACATATCGATCCGGACGCCCACCACACCCTCCCGCCCACAAATAGACGAGCTTATGCTCGTATTGCTTCATTTGCTATGTAAAATATGAAGCGAAGGGATTGATATGAAGCGGCCGCGCTGCATGGATATATGAGTACATATGTGCAGCCGCATCTCTTTATTGAAGATGCCTACTGGGAACTCGTCCGAAGAATACTTTCATGTATATGGAGACAAAGGCCTTTTCTCCGACAATTTTTGACGATTTCACTTCGTTTCGCCATTTTTTCACTACATGGCACCCTGCTAGCATTCAAAACCGGGTACGGAATTTGCGTGCCATATGCCTCTAACAAGGGAATGGTTTGAACTTCCCATGGAACTTTGAATGGAGACCTAGGTACATCGATAGAGCCTCGAATGCTGATTACGAATATGCAGATTAAAAGTGCTACGGGGACCTCCCAGACGAGATCTGGGTGGTCAAAGTTTGCGAAAAGTCAGTTTTGGCTCGTAAGCGCTGCTGATCGATGTCTCGGCAGTGCCACCGTGGCCTCGTGGTAACGGTCTCGCTTTCAAGTCAAACGCATGCGGGTTTGCATCCGGTTGGCGCGAAAAATTTTGCTTCGCTCCCTGTAAGAGCTTCAACTCTAATTTTCGAATC